TTAGGTTCTGCTGTCGCGGTCGTTTCCATAGAAACAGTATTGTCATGTTCTGAACCCCATTTTATATCATGCTCCACTTGCCATTTGATATAAGATTGGCATGTCATTAGAATGCATAATCATTTTGTTTCACATCACCTTATATAGGAATTTTCGGACTTTAAATAATATGTTGTAAATATGTTGTCGCCCTACAATTTTTCTTAAATAGCTACTTCGTTGGCTTTATAGGGGGTGCCATTTTAAAGAGTGTCAATGGGCTATATCTATTTCACTCGTACTATTAGAGGTATATAACAAAATTTTCCAAATCGGTTCGACAGTTTGGAGGAAGAACCAATTTGAATACACAGCCATTCTACGACTGTTTTCATCAACGTACTTTCCACCACGCTAACCTCTAAAATTGCTCTAAACCAATTGTGGAAAGGAGGAATGAAGCATCTTTGCGATAGTCTACTGTGGGCAAGGAATTTTTTGTAAATTTTGAAATAAAGTAAAGTTTGGATTCGTTATCCAAATCCCCAGACCTCCAATTTTGTCAAGATTAAAATTTTTCTTCGCCACCAATCTTGGGGTAGCAATTTTGCGACAATTAATGTTTTTGTGTAGGTAACCTAAGCTTATGTCCTCAGTTTTCCCTCGGCCGATCCGCACTGTATACCTCAGCTCCTAGACGTCGCATAGACCTTCGCTATGTGGTAGCGTGCTCTAGATGTGCGCAACTAGCAAAAATTCACAAATTCTGCTTAAAATTGAAAAAAAGAATTGAAATATGGAACAATGTACAGTTTTCTGTTTAAAAAAATTTAATTGGTGTACCACAGCTTTATGAGCAACCCTGTATAATTAACAGTATTACTGCGCAGTAGACATTGAAGGACCTTAAAACTACACATTTTTCGATATTAGCGGTTCTCTAGTAACATTTAGAAACGAATTAAAAAAGAATTACAATTCCTTAATTCACCCCACTTCAGTACAACAAGGTAATTCGCCGTCACCTCTAATGCGTAATCGATTTCTATTAAAAACCGCACAAAGTTTTTTTTTATTTCATTATTTGGTTGTTCTCGAGCACTCATGCGAGATAGAATGTATTCCTTTTTATCTAAATTGTGTAGCTCAATATTTTACATACTATATGCGATATGCATACGAGTGTGCATATTTTTACATATGTTTACGGTTCACTAGTCACTTCCAAGTACATATTAATTATGCAAATCTCTTGCTGAAATTCTATTGCTATTTTATATGTTGCTTTTTCTATTCATAAGAGTAACACTAGAAAGAGAAATACAAATGCAAATCCCTACCTTTTGTGAAATTATATCGGTTCAACGACAATCACGTATCGTAAGGGGTGTAACTAAAATGTTGCATCAAATATTTAGGTACCTTAAATTTTTTATGTAGAAAAAAGGTCTACTGGCAATTCAATAAACGCGAATAAAAATGTACAGCACTAAATTTCGTTCTTGTGTGGTAACCTACTTTCTGCTAACGATATTATCTTATTATTTTTAGTATTATTTAAATTCACATATAGTGGAGCTAAATCGGGCCAAAACTTTTGAGTGGTTTTTTTACTATAAAAAAGGTCATGACCACCGGAAAATTTCGTAAAACACCATTTCGGATGCAGAATTACAATATCTACATACTCTACTAGGTCTGATCTTGTTATACCTTCAAAAAAAGAGTACCATGAAGAATACCTCAAACCCCCTCTTTTTTTGATAAGGGATCCGAAACAAGGGCGGTTGAAAACAGTTCCTTTTGTTGAGACCTTTCATATTCCATGGAGAGTAGAACATGTGCCCCCTCCCCTCATTCTTAAATATTTGACTTGGCACCACTAAAGGCATCCGTATGAGATCAATTGGTTGCCGCATGTAAAAGTTATGTACGTTTTATATTTAAAAACACCAATAACTGGGTGGTATGGAAGCCCCCCCCCCGGAGAAGGGGGGGGGTGAAATTTTGATACCTGTACGGGTTTTTAGACTAATTACGTCTTTCTCAAACCACAAACATGTATAGGATATATGTAGAGCCATTAAATGTGGCTATTCAATATTTTAAACACTTCCTCTCGTGGATTTTGCAAAACTGGGACAATATCGTGTCCCGAGGCGCCTTTTTGGGACACTGGGATATGGAGAAAACCGCTAACAGTCCCGGAAAAGTATGGCAACAGGCCGGGCGGACGGAAAAAACGCAAACAATAGCCCATTATTTTTAATTCTTAAACAATGCGCTAAAAAGATGGAGAAACTGAAAGAATATACAGAGCAAATCAGGGAAATAAAAACGGAAAAGGATTTTTAAAAGGTGATAAACAGAGGAAAAAAGAAAGGTGAGAGGGAAATACAATTAAAGGAATGGAAACATTTTGTCAAGTTACTACAAGGAAAGCAGGAGAAAGAGGAGGCTATGGAAGAGAGGAAGTTGAAGGAGATGAGATAACAAGAGATGAGATCGAGCAGCAATTAAAAAGACTGCAGAAAGGAAACGCGGCGGGGAGAGATGAGATGAGATAAGAATCGCTTGAATTTTCGCCACATGTAGGGTTAAGGAAAGGGTGAGAAATCTAGTAAACAAGGTATGGAAAGCAGGGGGAAACCCGAGGAATGGAACGAAGGGGACATTGTGATTGGTGGCAAAGGAATTTAAAAAAAGGGCAGAAAGAGGTTCTTGTTTACCATGGACTTAAACGCAGCGTTTGACAAAGTGGAAAGGGATAAAGTATGGAAGATGGGAAAATTGACAAGAAATGAAAGAATCAGGAAACTATATGGAGAACAAGATTAAGGGTAAGAATAGAAGGAAAGGGGTCTGAAGTCTTTTGGATATATAAAGGATTAAAACAGAGATGCCTTTATTTAATCTCTACTTACGAGACATGGAAAAAGTATTGAGACAGAAGGTACCAATAATGCAAAGAAATAATGGGACAAATGCGCAGATAAGAGAATTAAAGGGGGTAGTGGCGATGAAATAGGTGTGAGGAATTGGAGAGAGGTGTTTCAAGAATGTTTTTGGAACAAGAAAGTACCTGTTCGGTGCGATGGTGAGAGGGGTGCTCATGTACGGAACGGAGGTATGGGAGTGGAAGGAATGGGAAGAACTGGAAGAAGTACAAAGACGGTGTTACAAATGGGTATTAGAGTTAAACGGAAGGACACCACAGTGGGGGAAACAAAAATTGAAAAGATAGCGTCGGGGCGCAGGGCCGTATGATTCGAAGAATTGGGAGATAGAGAAAGCGAATTGGTGAAAGAATGCTTGACAACGAGGATGAACGCAAAAGGAATGTGGAATGAACAACGAGGAAAATATTACGAAAGAAATGGATACAGACCTGGATACGGATGAGTTGAGGTCGAAAGGAGAAGAGGAGTAGGAGAAAAATGACCAGCAAAAGGGGATCTGCGTGCACAAATACAACAAGGACTAGTATGATCTGGGCTGGGCTGAAGATAGAGAGGGGAATGGTTACCAAGATATTTGTGGGAAAGGAGAAACAACAACGCGGTTCAGATGCGGAAATGAAGAGAGAGGGAAAGAGAAATGAAGACAAGAAGAAGAAAGAATATAGAATATTCGGCGGGGAAGATGAGAACATAATCGTTATGGAACAGTATAACGGACTTGGAAATGGAACAGTAGGAATGAAAAGGTGAGAAGTGGATGACACGGATTTTAATGAAAAGAAGGGAAAAGAATGCATTTTAGTTTTATTTTGTTATAACTTTAATGTGTAGTTGTGCCAAGCTGGCGTCCAATAAAGATTGATATAGTTAAGTATGACTGCGCCCTTTTGATTCAAGCCTTTTAAGTGCTTTAGGAGTTGATGTATCGCCTTAATTCTCACGACAGTTCTAGACACCCTAATTAGATGATGTATTAGTTCTTTCGTTGCAATATGTTCCCTTGTCCTTATTCAGTTCTTTAGGGGTTGATTCTTCATTATTCACTGCATGTTCCTGGTCAATTGCGTTATTAGTACAATCGGATTTAAATGTTACTTCTGCAATTGCCACCCTAATTCAGGGAGGCAATTAACGTTATAATATGCTTCCTTATCGTCTAATAGACATTTCGCGATCTGAGAGTTGAGAAAATGCTTTGCGTTTTTATTTGCTTTAGATCTTCAATAGTTTGTAACCGGCGGCACGTTCCCAGGATAAAATTGCTCGAGCTCTGGACGTGATATATGGAAATAGAACTGCATCTGAAAGGTGTTTCTCAAGAAGAATGAATACAAGTGCAGCTGCATTGCGGATAATTATCGACTGGGCCACGGACTTCCGGTACGCAGTCATCCTAAGCAAAATGCTGTGGCCCCTTCGTAATGTAGTACGGCTTTATTGAATAAGTGACATACGTGCCAATCTTAACCAATTCAAATCTACTCTTCCAATTCAAGCGTTTAAGATTACGGGTGTGCTAGCGTCGCTCCTCATTAGCGCGATCAGCCTCGCTCAGCCTGCACCACCCCTAATTGGAATCTTGGCAACGAATTTCCAATGTTACATTTTACGAATATAACGGTTATTAAAAGCTTTCGAGAAATTTGATTTTCGCGCACCCACGAACTAAATCGACCGTGGGGCTTTAATGTCACGATAATTATGAAATCAACCGATTTCTCGAGGTTTATTGCACTAAAAAGAAAGGAAAATCGATCCTACTTTAGTTGGCCCGACAAGTGGGCAACATTCTTTATAATGCGTTGTCCTAGCGACCTGCATGACACTTGAAACAAAATAGAATCTATATGCGAAGACGTGATTCGAATTTTTGTGTAGCTTAGGAGGGCATATGCATTTGAGGTGCAATTTTTCACGCACACACTTTGGGGATGAAATTGAATTTTTGGGTAGGCAGTTGTCGAGGCTTCTGTGTTGCTACCTGTGATTGCTACCAGGTGGTGGTGAGCAGCAAACGAGAGAGCTTGCCGGCGCACGCGAGCTGTTGCCAATATTGATCTAAGAACTGTTGCCGTCGCAGGACTAGTCGCAGGATCGCGTCCTACTCGCGTACTTGACGCCCCCCCGGTTTATTATTGTAAAGTACTTTTACCTGCGGGTGCTCCAGATTTCCCATAATGCTTCTCTGAGTGCTTTTGTTTGCCGAATTTGCCATATACAGTGCTGTAATGTGACGCAAAAATTAGTGTTACCTTATACCTTGGGACCAAATTCGTCTGCTCGCACACGAATTGTTTTTGCTACATATACTCTTTTTTGTTCTTGATCCTTAGCAAAATGAAGCAGTGACGTGTGTCTTTCATAGCATCTTCAAGTTCATCAGTTTATTTGTCAACATCAATTGCTGCAGCATTACACATTCACATCGTACGGTAAATGTATTTATAAGGCCATTTACTCTAATACTAATTTTGGTCTTCCTCATTAACGTAAAATTGCCAGTTTAATCTCGCGTTGTTGTAAATTAATGGGGCCTCATGTTTTGTCCACCCCTACAATTGGGGGTGTATAGGCTTTCGGCCAACAACTACTTCAAATCCCTAATCGTTTTTGAGTCTTACGTGTAGTTAAATCCACCCCGCTATTTACTTATGGCGTGGCGCTACAAGCGTAAACCCCTATTCTCTCTTGTAGCGGTCAACCGGACGAGATGTTCTAAGCATGAAAAGTTCTCATTTTCATCCATTAATATTGGATACGCGTAACTTATTACCTCATTCTACGAGGGTGCTGAATGCATAATCGAAACTATTTATAAAACGGGCGTTGTCGGATTGTCCTCTATTGTTTGAATACAAATTAAGGTATTACTTAAACCGCTCACTTAAGAGGTTCCGGACGAAATTCCGAATTCTAATTAAATTTTTCTCCACCCTCCGTTCGCACACTTAACGGAATTATCGACTTATTTCCCCGAATTACTCGATTCATCCTTTTTTTTAAGTAGAATAGGTTACAATTTCTATTTCGGTAGGGGTAGTTAACTAGATTAAAATCTGGGTGTGATGCCAATTGCCAAATGTGATTCGAAATACGTGTGTATTAAAGCTGTCGCATAGATTTTGTACGAAATCGGGTATGGAACTCATTTTAAATTTAGAATTTTATTGTACCTGAAATATCGTACTTGCTTTTTGGTTTTATGGATCTTTTTCGGAAAACTAATTGCATTGTGGCAGCCATAAAATTTTACAGCTTACCTTTTGGTGTGCGTTTTACGGTTGCTAGTATAAATGGCAGAGACTTTGTAAACTGATGGATGCAGCTTTTTTAATGAGGTTTCAGATTAAAAAACATTTTCAATTCGAATTTTCACTATTACGTATACGAGCAAACCGCTTTTAGACTAGTTAGCGACAGTGCTATGCCATTCTAGGGATGAAATGACGACTTTTTGTCGTCGATAAACTGCCACAAAAAACTACGCGATATAAAATGTAAGGCTATAAACATATAATTTTTTACTGTGTGGTAAAATGGCTCAATCAATCGGGAAAAGTGTGACGCCTTAACTTTATTCTGAAAATGCAATCTTTTCATTGGTCAGAATCTCGAAAGAATGGCGTTCGCATGTCAAAAGAGGACGAAATTGTAATTAGTAATGCATAAAGGCAGAATGTGCAATTGAAATTGCAAAACATGTCATTCACCTAACGGGTTTATTAGAAACCGTGGTAGATTTTCGAACAAGTTGGCTCGAGAAAACGAGTTTTACGCCCAAACTGGTCTCACTCTACTAAAATCGGGATTTTTACTTTATAACGTTAGCTTCAAACCAACGGAAAATCGGAATTGTTGTGAAAGAGGCAATTTAAGATATAATGCTAGAAATCTTGAAGAGGGTCTTTGAAGGAAATATAATATTTTGGTTGAAATGAAGAGAAAATTTTGAAGATGAATTGGAAATACAAGAAAATTATTAGGATTTTTTCGTATAAAATCTGATAAAATTTAATGTCATTTAAATGCTGAAGAAATTCTCATGAAATAAGGTAACTTTTAAGGGATTCTGGTGAAATGGAAGAATGGGAGACATGTAAAAACATTTTTGGAGAATTTAATGGGATAATGTAATGTAATTAGGTAATGATAAAAAGAAATGTTCAAGGTAAAAGGCAAGCTGACAGTTTTCAATATCTGTTATTAATTTACGATCACTCTCATAGCAACACCCTAACATTCGAAATCATTAAGGGCTGGTTTTTTGATTTTTCCATAAACACTTCACTATTCACTTAAAAACAGCACTTCACTTATTCCGATGATGCTACAAAGGTTCTCGAAGCGCTGTCTAGTGAATTCACATACTCAATGCCAATTTGACCATAATCAAAACTCTCACGGATTAAGATTAATGGCGCTTTGATTATCCACTTTCCACACAGGAGTACATTTGCAATCCATTTCATCGAGAATCCTTCTGATCCAGGTAGCTTATAGAATACCCCAGTCAACGAAAATTAAATGATTCTTTTCGTAGAATCATGAAATCATACTCACAAAAATCTCGTAATATACCATCCTCCCTCACACTCTCCGGTATGTTTTTTTTTCGGTATACGCTACGCCCTGAATCCTGTCGTGATACCTTAAAAAAGGCCCCATCGACTCTTCCTTTCTTGGATTCTTACGGTTTCGCTTATAATGGCGTTACTTGCCACATTTATAGCATTTTGGGACAAACTTCTTTAACTTGTCGCCACTCTCATCGTCCTTACCGTGACCATTCCTCTGCTTAGGTCCAAGTCTCGTCTTGGAATTTCTGTCCATAGCTTTTCGAGTTAGGCAATGTGTTTTCCGATCGAATCACAGGTCTCTTATATTGAAAATCTGATTGAAAAGGCGATCTTACCTTTCCAAAACAAGCCGACAATTTCATGAAATAAGAAAAGGTTCTCGGGAAATACGAAGGAATTGTATGGAAACATGGAAGAAAATCGGGAGAATAATAAATAATCTTTAAATAAATATAGTTACTTCGAGGGTTACTTGTTTTGTTAGAAATTGGGGAAATTGAGAGAAATGCACGAAGCTTTGAAGAAGTTTGCGGTAATTCTGGAGATATAGAGTAGAGAGGTTTTGGGGGAATAAGAAGAAATTGTGTGTGTCTAAAAATTCACAAAATATGTCCCAAGATAATGATGTCCATGGGGATCTCCGAACCCATAGACATTGGTAAATCGGCAAATTTCGGCTGTTCTGACACATCTTCGGAAGTGGTCGGTATTTTCTGCTTTTCTTTACAGCATGATAATAACTGTGTAATGGCGCAACTTTTCCCTAATTTTCCATCATCGTATCTTCTATGCTTTCCGAGATCCCCATGATATAATACGAAATTAGAAGGAAATGAGCGCAAATTCTGAAGAAATGGAGAAAATGAAAGACTAGTTTTAAGTGAATACTGTTAAGTTGGTTTAGAAATTGGGCTATTTCCAAAATGCTAATTCCCGACTATAGTGTCTCTCAAAAAGATTTTACGAAAACACCTCCTAACCGACCCTAATTACTTATAGAGCAGCGTAAAGTTACCACAGGGATTCCAGCAAAACATTTGCATATTTAATGTGAAGCTTAACTGCCGGCGACGGTAATAAAAGGTAATCCGTCATTACCTCCCTTGTATTTATACATCCGTAAATGGTGCGGTTTTTAATAAAAATCGATTTTTGTTATTGAGAGACATAATTTAAATAAACCAAATACAGTACCTTACCCTCTCGAGTATAAAGGCGGCAGGTAATCCATTGTACTCTTAATGGACCAAACTTTCCCTTAAAACATGGAATATTTATTGAATGCTTAAAGGTAAAGTTGCGGCATTAGGATTAGAGGTGCATTACTTTTCAGTGTAAAAACAGTGCAAATTTGAATTTGATCATCGGAAGGCTTTAGGCCCGTAATTAGTGGTAGTGTCAGGGGCTAAAGTGGATTAAATTAAAGAACTGTATTTGGGGTTCGTTTGAATTGTGCCTCTCAATTGAAAAGGAAAAGTTTCCCAGTTTTGCTGTGGAAACCATTATCGGAAGGAAATAACAGCAATACCATAATTTCCCCTCTTTCCTGAAACTTTCTCAAACTTTCACTGACACATTTTGTTGCGTAAAAATTATCCTAATTTATTCTTTTTAAATGTCTATAAAAGTTCTCCTGTAGCTGCCTGAAATATCTTGAAACATTCGAATGCAAGTGCTTAAGTATAATGTGAACCAAGAATTTTTTACGCCCAGATCGCATTCGAAATGCGGCTCATATGCAATAGCACTGATCCTTGAACTCGTAGAAATCGATTGGCGAAGATTTAACATCACTGTCTCTTTTCGTTCTCGAGGACGGCCAAAACCATCACGTAAAGGGAATTTTTTTCGAAAAATGTCCCTAAAAACGACCTGGATGTACTGTCGGCGGAACCGACGGGCAGACTCGATCGCAACCAAAAGTTGCGGCCTTGTTCCTGGTCAAGGTCGGCGGGGCGGCCTCGGAAACCTCGGATAACTCAATCAGAGTAAACGGCAACTCTATGAATTGTCTTCTAAATGACAAGAGCGTTTGAACGCAACAAAGATAATTGAAAAATCTTAACGGGAACGGTTTCAAACGGATTTTCAATTCCTTTCGGAACGAAGCGCTTCCAGATACTGTGGTCTTGAAATGCCACCATGAAAATGGCGTAGTACTGTTAATAACGAGGTTAATAATGTTCGCAAAATGCTGTGCTCTTGCATTATTTATTACATTTCACCGATGGAAATGAAAAGATTTGATAAATCGCATCCTTGAATCACTTGGTTTCAAACGTCATGGATAAGGAACGTTTTCATCCAGTGTATATTCATTTTTGTATAAAATTTGCAAAAAAATTGTCCTTCTCGCACAAATCCTCCAAAATGGATTTCATGTAATGATTTTGTTAGTATTTTTAGCGCATTTTTTAAGAATGAAAAAAATGTGGTATTGCTTGCGTTTTGTCCATCCGTCTGTCCGTCCGGCTTTGAATTACTTTTAGATGAAAAGTCCTAGAAAACGCGTTGTCGGATGAAAGTACCTACAAAGTCAAAATGAATTGTCAAGACGAGACATATCTATTGGTGAAGTCTACCCATTAATCATCTAACAAGAAAGGAAACCTCGCTTTCAAAAAGGGCCTCATAGACCTCGGAATGTTATTGTAAACCTTCCTATCGTGCGATCTGTTCAAAGCGGTTTCGAAGATTGAAACAAGCAGTTTAATTTTGTTTGAAGTTTATTTTGTTTAGGCTTCGATTTAGATATTTTTAACAAAAACTGCGTTGGATCTATGTGAGTGCGTCTATCGTATAGTTTTTCATTAATCAAAAGTGGGAGATCAGCTACACTTTACACACTGAAATTT